ATAAATTCAACCTTACCCAACTCGAAAGTTAATATGTTAAGTGAAATTACCCTTGGGAAGTCCTTAAACAGCCTGTGAAAGCACCCTGTAAGAGCTAGGAAGAAGGTTTTGCTGTCTGAGGAAATGGCTAACTCACACGTGCACAGCAGATTCACTCTGGGGCTCAACGCTTCTTGACAGTGATACTATAATTGTGCATTTGTTGAGATTTTGCTGTGTATGTGCGCCTAAGTGTGCCTGTCCTTTTTTCTAGGGTGAACAAAGTTATAAAGATGTGTGCAGCAAGTTCCACCAAACTGTGATCTCCTTCTTCCTTCCCAGCTCTGATGGCCCCCATATACCTGCGCTCTAGTCTCTGGGCTGCCATAGTCCAAGCGGTTGGGTCTTTGAAAGCTCCCTGTGTAATGTCATAGGTCTAAGCTGCCACCTTGTGGCTGTTACATGTATGTGTCTTAACCAGCCGCTAGTGTGAGCTTGCCTAGTAGCTACACTCACAATTTGATGGCTTTCCTTTTGCCTTCTGCCTTTTCTACACCGCCGCTAACGCTACCTGGCATTTAGGAACAATGTGTCACTTATGTGACAGATGAAGCATAGAAATATGTGCTTCCCCACTCTACGAATCTGCCAATCAGAACTTTTGCACCAGCTGCAAAAGATACCCATGATACCGTTACCATAGTCAAGATACATATCTATCACTCCCCAAATTTCCTTATGTTCTTGTGTGTTTTGTTTCCTTTTTGTGGTAAGAAAACTAAACATGGCACCTATCTTGTAAACATATTCTAAAATACACAATACCATGTTGTTAACTATACGTACTATATTGTATTCATCTTGCATAAATGAGGCTCAATGTGGGTATTAAGCTTTTTAAAATTATTTCTACTGTGTTTAGGACAGCTATAGCTGCCTCTGCATTGATTTTTCTATTGTTTTTTATTTAAAATAAATACATTTACTTTGTATATATGCTATAAATATTAATAAAAATAGTTTTATTAAAAAAAAAAGAAATATGTGCTTCCGTCCCCCAGAGCTGCTAGTTTTCCTGTCATAGAATCATGAAGCTGGATTACAATACAGACTATCTTGCAAGATAATAAGTGTACCAAGAGCTTAAAATCATGGAAGGGTGCACATTACTTTGGAATCTAGTCATAGTTATAGTTTTTTTTCCCCCCAAATCCCTTGTAATATTGATTTTAAAGCCCCAGGAGCCCACAAGCAACAGCGAATTCCTTTTACAAGCATTTATTGAGCACCTGTGAACCACTGCTTTCAGGAGTTCCCAGCCTCTTGAGGGCCACACGGGGGACCACATGGCCATCGCTATGATGCAGGTGGGGTTCTGCATATTGGGGGCCTGGGAAAGAGAACATGAGTCTCTCTGAAAGGGTCAGCAATGTCTTCACAGAAAAGTCCAAGCTGAGGCTTAAGCTAGAAGGTCAAGGGGCCATGGTAGGGGACAGGTTAGACATTCCAGACAGAAGGAAGAGCAGCGCCGTTTTGGTGAGAAAATGCACACGACACCATTTCTGGGACTTGATCCCCAGGGTTTTGCCAGCCCAAACAGCACCCCAGTACATGCTTGCTTTCAAGCATGTACTTAAAACATTCTTAGGAGAACTCCTCCTTTTATTCCCCCCAAACAAAATCTTACACTGAACCATAAGAAAGTTCTGAATCACAGTTTGACCAGCCGCTGCATTATCCAATATTTGTGCTTTTTTCTTCTTAATATAGTTTTCCCATTTCAAAATTACTTATTCTAAAGCAACATTAGGTCTTTTTTTTTTTTTTTTTTTTTTTTTTTGAGACAGAGTCTCGCTTTGTTGCCCAGGCTAGAGTGAGTGCCGTGGCGTCAGCCTAGCTCACAGCAACCTCAAACTCCTGGGCTCAAGCAATCCTATTGCCTCAGCCTCCAGAGTAGCTGGGACTACAGCCATTCGCCACCATGTCTGGCTAATTTTTCCTATATATATTAGTTGGCCAATTAATTTCTTTCGATTTATAGTAGAGACAGGGTCTCGCTCTTGCTCAGGCTGGTTTTGAACTCCTGACCTCGAGCAATCCGCCCGCCTCAGCCTCCCAGAGTGCTAGGATTACAGGTGTGAGCCACCTTGCCCGACCAACATTAGGTCCTTACATGGTCCATCACTCTTAAAACTGGACTGGAAACTGGCTGACACAGATATCTCCAAGAAGCCACTGGGAAACAAAGCGCTTTTGGTACCTAGTAGGGGAGGAAGAAAGAGGGGAAAGGGAAGTTCCTGTCTGCCCTCATCAAAATCGTACCTGCCCACAAATTAGCTCGGCGATGGGTAACTCATGGGCAGCAAACCCTTAGAAGCCTCTGAAACTATAAGGTGGCCACACATAACATAGTGGGTGTTATATAATAATAAATAATATCCCACAAAAAGAGAAACAGGGTTCTGATGTATCTAAGTTTTGAGTGATTCATAAATTATAAATCTATTTACAGTTTTTAGTAGATGCATAGGACTATATATTTCCCCAATCATTAAAAATCAGCTACTCAAGGCCGGGCGCTGTGGCTCACGCCTGTAATCCTAGCTCTTGGGAGGCCGAGGCGGGCGGATTGCTCAAGGTCAGGAGTTCAAAACCAGCCTGAGCAAGAGCGAGACCCCGTCTCTACTATAAATAGAAAGAAATTAATTGGCCAACTGATATATATATCAAAATTAGCCAGGCATGGTGGCACATGCCTGTAGTCCCAGCTACGTGGGAGGCTGAGGCAGGAGGATTGCTTGAGCCCAGGAGTTTGAGGTTGCTGTGAGCCAGGCTGACGCCACGGCACTCACTCTAGCCTGGATAACAAAGCGAGACTCTGTCTCAAAAAAAAAAAAAAAAATCAGCTACTCATTATGCAGGGAGGTCTGAGAAATTTTGATAAATTCATGAGATTGAACTTTCTGGAAGAGACTGGAAGTCCTTCTGCACCTCTGTTTTTGTCTAGTTAATGCCTACTCCTCCTTCAGAGCTGGTTTCAGCTGGGATTTTTTCTGTGACCTCTCTGACATAACCAAATCCTACCATTACGTGCTTTCATACCATCACTGTGTACCTCCTCTCATGGCACTCACCAGAGTTGCAATTTTAGAGTTGTGTATGTGATTGTATAATGTCTCTCTCCCGTTACTGTAATATCATATGGGCAGGGGCTATGTCTTTCTGCTCAATATTGTGTGTCCAGAATTAAACTAATTGCTCATTAAGTGAATAAGTACAAGCTAAAGTCTTAAATTCCAGCCCTGGGAGATAAGTACAGGGAAGGCACGTCAACGTAAACCATCTAGGGCCTTGGTGGCTAAAAGATAACTACAAAGACCTGGACCCAGAATTAGGTCTCCTAGGAGGGAAGAGCCAGACATGGAAGCGAATATGGAGCTCATAAATGTATTCTGTCTGCCAGCCAAAATCAAGGGCAATTCCACCTTTTGTGGACAGCCTAGAATGTTAGAAAAAGCATTGGATTGGGAACTAGGCAGTGGGTTCATGTTCTAGATCTACCTACAATCGACCTGGTATATATTAAACATATACCCTTGGATCAGTCACCTAACCTTGAATCAGATTTCTAATCTGTAAAATGAGGGTGATGTCTGGCCTGTCTACATCATCACTGTGAAAGTCAAGCAAAGCGCCAGGTGCAGTGGCCCATACCTGCTGTCCCAGCTACTCAGAGACTGAGGAAGGAGGATCACTTGAGCCCTGGAGATCAAGTCTAGCCTGGGCTTTAAGATTCTGTCCCCAAAAAACAAAACAAACAAACAAACAAAACCCAAGTAAAACAATGGGCCCAGAAGTACATTAAAATGATACAGTATTTAATAAACATAAGGGTGGTATTTTTTATAAGTACAGTAAGTCTTCACTTGATGTTGTCAATAGGTTCTTGGAAACTGTGACTTTAAGCGAAACGACATACAATGAAACCAATTTTACGTAATTGACTTAAACAGGCTAATTGATACAAACAAGAGTTAAGTTCCTATGGCATATTTCTGGTCACAAAAACATCACCAAACTTCTAAATAGAGACCAAAGCACTTCTAATATTTCAGAAAAGAAATAGCGCAGAGCAGTCTGAGCTATATGAGCTATGCAAAATTTATCAAGCCCAGAGAGACTTGAGTATGCGACTTCATGGTCATCATGGTTCCCAGCACCCCCACCCATGCCTGGGGGCCATTATTTAAAGGCATCTAGTTTCTGACTAGCTGCCTCACTCATTACCTTTATCTTCAAGTTCCTGGATTTGTTCTATAAAGCCAAGGTATAGCAATCAATAGCTTATGTTATCGTAACGTGAATTCTTAGTGAACAACTAAGGAACTGTCCTTTTTTAAAAAATCCCACTAGGCCAAGCACAGTGGCTCACACCTGTAATCCTAGCCCTTTGGGAGGCCAAGTCAAGAGGACTGCTCGAAGCCAGGAGCTCAAGACCAACTTGGGCAACAAAGGTAGACTTTGCCTTTATTTATTTATTTTTCTTTGAAAGCAATTTATTTGTTTCTGGATCACAAAATATAGGGGAAGGAGCAGGCGATGCCTGTCACCCGCTGGTTGCACATCTTATCTTCCCACAGTCTGCATCTATAAGTACTTTGTACAACACCAAGCTCATACTGTCCCCTTACGCGTCTTCTCACATTCTACCGGCTGCAGGGTGTAGTACGTGACCAGGCAGGAAGTTAAACCAGATGCCGCATTCAGAAGGCAGGGCTCCCCTCCAATTATTGAAACTTAAGTAACTGGTGGTTCTACCGATTTTCTAAAACTCTCATGAACAAGTAGGTTGATAAATAACGTCTACACAAGTCCTAGAGCAGGCGTCCTCGAACTACAGCCCGCGGGCCACATGTGGGTGTTTTTGCCCGTTTGTATTTTCACTTCAAAGTAAGATACGTGCAGTGTGCACAGGAATTTGTGCATAGTTTTCTTAAAACTATAGTCCGGCCCTCCAACGGTCTAAGGGACAGTGAATTGGCCCCCTGTTTAAAAAGTTTGAGGACCCCTGTCCTAGAGTGATTTAACCTTACAGATGTGCAGTGTCTGAGGTCCTTTCCTTGTCCCCAGCTTTCTACGGTCCCAGGTTGCCTGTGGCACCTGGACTGCTGCCCCTGGGTCCCCCACATCCCAGGGTGGTGATGGAGGAAGGGCAGGCCAGGCCAAGCATGAGGAATAAAGTCTTTATCAGGCTCAGACCAGGCGTCCATGGGTCTTGAGGCCCTCTGTGTATTTGTCAATTTTCTCCTCCACGTTCTTTTTGGCCTGTTTCTTCCAGTAATGGATCTTGGCCTTCTCCTTCCTCTTTTCCTCCAGGGTGGCTGTCACTACCTGGTACTTCCAGCCAACCTCATGAGCCAGACGCCTCGGGTAGGCAAACTTTCTCGTAGGCTTCAGACGTACAACCTTGAGGGCAGCAGGATTCACCATCCACTTTTTCTTGTCATAGGGCGGTGGGATCCCATCAAACACCTCGAGGCGGTCCAGGGCAGCCTGGCCTCGCTTAGTCTTGTGGGGCAGCATGCCTCGCGTAGTCCGCCAGAAAATGTGGCTGGGGACCCAGAAATGGTTGGGCCCCTGGGAAGGGTTGGTGTTCATCTATTTGCGGAGGGAGGCCAGATACTTTAGCTTGTTTCTGTAGAAATTGCCAGAAATACTGATGCCCTCACAGCACACAACCACCACCTTCTGGCCCAGCAGTACCTGTTTGGCCATGATGGCTGCCAAGCAGCCAGGAGATGGCCTCAGCCATCAAGCACCAGGACCTGCCCCTCCACCATCTTTGGCAGCCGCCTGGGAAAGCTAGACCTCGCCTTTATTAAAAAAAGAAAAAATAAACAGAAATACTAGCTGGTGCACCTGTAGTCCTAGTTACTTAGGAAGCTGAGGCAGAAGGATCGCTGGAGCCTGGAAGTTCGAGGCTGCAGTGAGCTATGATGGCACCACTGCACTCCAGCCTAGGCAACTGAGACCCTGTTTAAGAGACTCTGTCTCTTAAAATAATATAATAAATTTTAAGAAACAAGATATATATTTGCCCACTTTTTGGTGAATCAGTGAGTGATGGTGTCAGTGGGTCAAATCAAGGAATAAATGTTTGCAAAGCAAAGACTGTCAGGAGCACCTCTGTAAGCTCACCCCAATGGCCATTCCAACTATCGCTCTGAGCTAGCTAAAGGGAAGCCATCTTGCTTCCAGTGTGCTTTCAGTTTGTTCTGTTGTAAAAGTTTAGAATTAACCTCCTGCTGTCAGACACAGGTTAGAAAATAATCTTGAGGTAAAACAGATCAAGAGTCCAGTATAGGCCCACTGCAGACTGCTGATGACAAAATCTACCAGATGACCCATTGTTTGCTGATAACCACCAACCAAGTCATGCTGACTTGCACAAAGTTTGCTTTCTGCCACCAGCCCCCTTTACCCCTTCCTTTTCTAAGTTGTTCAATAAGCAGAGGATATGAGATGGTCTTTGAGACAATAGTCCTCCATCTCCTCAGGATGCTGGCACTTGAATAAACCACCTTTCCAATCCGGTTCCATCTGGTTCTCAGGTAGTGGGCGGCTGAACCTGCATCCGGCAACACAACCATTTGTATTCAGTCATTCCTTTGTTTTCTAACCTGCTTAATCTAGTTCAGGCTCACAGGTGGCCAGAGCCTCTCCCAGAAGCCCAAGGCCAAGGAGGGAACCAGCCTGGGACAGGCTGTCCCATGGCAAGGCACACTCACTCACAGACACCCACACTCACACACTGGGCCTTGTAGACAAACCACAGAGCCTCCTGTGCACAGCTTTAGGGTGTGGGAGGAAACAGTGTCCCCAGGGAAAACCCACACAGACATGAGGAGAATATGCCAACTCCCCACAGACAGTGGCTCTGTGGGAAGCCAATTTTTTCCTCATCAATGCTATAATGACATTGAAGGAAGGGATGTGACTTGAGGACCTGTTGTACTTCCTGTATGATTCACCTCTTCACCTTCTCCTATTTTACAGCTCATTCCTTCTTTCCTTTTCAAACCTTAGTTTTTTTCTCATGTTTCCTTTTTTTTTTGTTCTTTTTGAGACAGAGTCTCACTCTGTTGCCTGGGCTAGAGTGCCGTGGTGTCATTGTAGCTCACAGCAACCTCAAACTCCTGGGCTTAAGCAATCCTCCTGCCTCAGCCTCCCAGGTAGCTGGGACTACAGGCACACACCACCATGCCAGCTAATTTTTTCTATTTTTAGTAGACAGGGTCTCGCTCTTGTTCAGGCTGGTCCCAAACTCCTAAGCTCAACCAATCTTCCCAACTACCTTGGTCTTCCAGAGTGCTAGGATTACAGGCATGAGCCACCGTGCCCAGCCTCTCACGTTTATGAAATACTTTCTATAGTTTTTTTGGATATTGTCTACCTATTGTTATTGATTACATATCTTAATAATGACCTAAAATGAACCCAAGTTCTCATAGGCCCCACAGAGACTGTTCTTCTCAGTAGCTCAGTGAACAAGAGCTGATACCCTTCTACCTGCTATCACAGAGTAGCAGGTACCAAATGAGTAGTACAAAATCACAGCCCTTAAAAATTTCCCAGTGGTTATTAACCCTGGCTGCACATAGAATCATTTGAGCCCTGCCTCTAACTAAATCAAAATCTCTAGAGGTGAGACCTGGGATATGGTTGTTTTTCCAAAGATTCTGGGTTATTCTGTCAAGCAGGCAGTGTAGTTGGGAAAGAGGCACATACAAATTAATTATAATGCTCTGTTAGAGGTATGAACCAAGTGCTATTGAAATAATAAATTTTACTTGTAACTCAAACAGAATATAAGTTCCATGAGGGCAGCAATCTTTTGTCTGTTTTGTTTATTGATATATTGGAAGCACTAGAACATGAATAGCATAGCCACTCAATTTGTATTGTTTAGCTGTTGCTTTAAGGATGAACAAATAGGCTGGGTGTGGTGGCTCACGCCTGTAATCCTAGCACTCTGGGAGGCGGAGACATGAGGATCTCTTGAGTTCTGGACTTTGAGACAAGCCTGAGCAAGAGTGAAGTGAGACCCTGTCTCTACTAAAAATAGAAAAAATTAGCCAGGCAACTAAAAACAGAAACAAAATATTAGCCAGACATGGCAATGAGCACTTGTAGTCCCAGCTACTCAGGAGGCTGAGGCAGAAAGATCCCTTGAGCTCAGGAGTTTGAGGTTGCTACGAGCTAGGCTGACACCATGGCATTCTAGCTCAGGCAACAGATTGAGGCTCTGTTTAAAAAAAAAGAGTGAACAAATAGAATTTCAGCAAGATACTATGGTAAAGGCATTCAAAGCAGAGGCACTAAAAGAAGAAAAAACACAAGAAAGTAAGGGCAGCATATGTGGGAAGAATTTCCAATAGTTGACTACAGCTAGATTGTAGATTGTACAATGGAGACTAGTATAAAGTGCTTTGATTTGAGTGCTAAGGAATTTGTTCTGTAGTGTGCAAAAACTCATAAACTATCAAAGAACAAAACAGTACACAATTTATAGTTTTCAAAAGTAACACTCAAGTTCTAAGGTTAGCAACCATCTCTCATTATGGACCTGCATTCCTATGAACAAGATGCCTCCATTTTTATAGCAGAAGGAGATTGATGAGGTTAATCTTTCTGTGCTCAAAACTCCACTAATAGATTGACCAAAGAAGCTAAACTGGTAGGTGCCTGGCTTTCGTTACAGAAGAACAAGACACAAACAGATTAAGTTAGAGATGCAATATTGGAATATTGGATTTATATACTGAAAATAGGTAACATTGTTAAGAAATATCTCCTAAGCTAAAGCAAACTGTCAAACTAGGTACAACTGAAAAGAATTCTGAATTAAATGTCTTAATAGATTGGGAAAAAATTCTTTAAAGGAAAATTTCACTTTGGAGGAAGACTTAAGAATTACTGGGAGGAAAAATAGATTTCAACAAGTTCGGACTAAGGTAATATAATCCTCAGGCAAGAGACTTAAAAAAGTTACTAGAAAGGATATGCTAACAATATTATCATAAATTGATTCCAATGAGGAAGGAAAGGGGGAAATATTTAAAGAAATCAAAGTAACTGCCCCTTCTAACAAGATCAAATTTTTTTATGGGCTGAGTCTTGTGAATGGGACATGTATAGAAGTATGAATAGTAGTAATGGTCTGAAATTCTCAAGATCATTTCAAGAAGGTTAGTACCCATGATGTCTAAGACTCTTGAAAAATTCTGAATATTTTAATTTTTAACTTTTTAGAGAGATATTTTTGGAACAAGAAAAAAAAAAAGATAGGTTTTCTGTTTGGAGTAGAAGATATAATGTCATTTATACTCCAGGAGTTCTCAAACTCTGGTATGCAAGAGAATCACACAGAGCCTGTATTAAAACACAGACTTCTGACCCCAAACTCAGAGTTTCTGTATCAGAGGACTGGGAAGGGGCTTGATAGTCTGCTTTTCTAATAGGTTCCCTAGTAATGCTGACACTGCTAGGTCAAGCAGCACACTACAAACAAGACTGATTGAGTGCATGTCTTAGTTTGAGTTCCGCGAGTAGACGCTAAGACAAAGATTCAGGTGTAAGTAGTTCATGTGGCAGGTACAGAAAACACCTGTACAGAGGAGGGAACTGAGACAGGGAACAGTAAAATACAGACTTCGGAGTTACCCGCACAAGGGGCAAGGGCGAAAGGAGGAAATTAAATAATAATAATAAAGACACCACACCACCTACTACAATGTCTTGAATGAATATAATGACATCCACCAAACGGGATGGGAAAAGTAATTTTTTTTGGCAGAGGGAGTAACTGTGATAGATAGATAAAAATAAGGAGACGTGGATTCTTTTCTTATTTGAAGGCTTGCCACTGAGCATGGAGACAAATGTCAGCTTCTATCGGTCATTCACTGAGGATTCTTGGAGCCAAGAGGTGATGGAAGAGATTGGCTAATTGTGCGGCACTCCCAGCCTGCAAGGTTTCCAGCCTCGGAAGGCCTCATCAGAGGCACAGACACAAATTATCCCTATTAAGTGCTAGATATTGCTACGTCCCCCCCTCTGAGTGGTCTGTTGCTGCTATGTGGAGCAGCATTTTGGGGAAGACCAAAAAGAAGTTATTTACATATTTAATTCTAACTGGGTTAAGTGCTGAAAGCAGAACAGGGTGCTCTGGTAGGATACAACAGGACCAGAACAGAACAGAGCCATCAGGGTACCTTGAACAATTAAGGTGAGAAGGGAGCTTTCTGATGAATGGCTCATGGCTAGAAGGGGAAGCGAGGGTGACAGTGCTGTTTTACATTGAGAAAACAGTATGTGTGAAGACCTCCCAGTTGAAATGAGTATGGCAACTTTGGAGGAATCTATGGCCAATAGTGGCCCAGTCTCTAGGAAGGACAGTGGAGATAGATGAGGCTGAGAAAGTTAAAAAGCAGACCACATAGGTTTGTAGGCCAAGCTAATTTTTGTTTCTTTTTCTCTTGAGAAAAAGAATGGAAGTCACTGGATGATTTTTAACCAGAAGAATAAAAAATTTGAGGCCGGGCGCTGTGGCTCACGCCTGTAATCCTAGCTCTTGGGAGGCCGAGGCGGGCGGATTGCTCAAGGTCAGGAGTTCAAAACCAGCCTGAGCAAGAGCGAGACCCCGTCTCTACTATAAATAGAAATAAATTAATTGGCCAACTGATATATATATAAAAAATTAGCCGGGCATGGTGGCACATGCCTGTAGTCCCAGCTACTCGGGAGGCTGAGGCAGAAGGATCACTCAAGCCCAGGAGTTTGAGGTTGCTGTGAGCTAGGCTGACGCCACGGCACTCACTCTAGCCTGGACAACAAAGCGAGACTCTGTCTCAAAAAAAAAAAAAAATTTGAGAATATATATGTAGGGGAACAAAAGTAGATTCAGGAAGACTGATTGCAGTCCAGAAGTAGGAATATCATCTTTGGGGAGTGAAATGACAGTGGATAGGAGGAAAAACAGAGATTTAAGAGATATTTAGGAGGTAAAATCAACAGGACTTGTTAATGAATTAGGTGTGTGATGTAAGGAAAATGCAAATGCCAAAGGTGACTCCCAAGCTTTTGGCTTAAGCAAGTGTTGGACAGTACTATAATTACTGAGCTTTGGAACAGGAGAGAACCAGCTATGAGAAGTTGGTCTTAGCTATTATGAGTTTGAGATGCCTGTGAGATCCCTGGAGGTACTGAACGGACATACGGGTATCAGAGAAAACATGCAGATGAAAATTTGAGATTGGTTAACATAAAGATGGTGGTCGAACCCTGTATGAATATGATCACTGATGTATATAATAAAGGATGAGAATCCTTGATCTCCTGATTAAAGTAAAGGAGGAGGACAGGACTGAGCCCTGAAGAACTCTTGACATTTAAATGCCCAGTCTTAGGAGGTGAACCAGCAAATGAGTCGACAGGAATCAGAGGAGGGCCAGGAGAGGATACTACACATGCCAAGAGAAAGCAGTATCTCGACCCAGCAAAAGTGAAGTAAGTACTGACTGGCTATGAGAACTCCATCTAGGAAATAAGGGAGTTTTCAGCATTAAAGTTCTAAAGCTACAAATCCTGGCTTCCATCTTTTCTAAGGAAAATATTTAACTAGAAAGAATGGCAGAGCCATTTTGGGGAAGACCAAAAAGAAACTGAAGCTCAAGATACATGAATTAAATAGCTGCTTCAGATGAATTCATATTTCTAGATCCAGATCCACTGCATCCTGGTGTAAGGATGAGAGTGAAACTTCATGACAATAACTGCTGAAAACATGTCATATTAAATCTCCACATCCATTGTATAGAAACCATGAACAGAACAAAAGGGGTACCTGTCTTCCAAGATCTATTTCTGCTAAGATTTGACCTTGTAAGTAACCACAGCATACTCATACTGCATTTCTTCCTTTCTTACTCTGTGCCTGTCTCCCTAAGTTTTCTTCTAGAGACAATGGGTTTCTTCACGTTAATTACTAAGAACCAAGCATGTTAAAAGTAACAGGGTGGGTTAATTTGTCATCATAACTCCTGGGTATTCATTTGGTTGAGAAATGATCATCAGCTGACTGTTCTTCATAAGATTATTCTAAAAAATGTTTTACTTAGAATTCCTCATTGTGAGGGATATATTTGTACTTAGAGACAAAGACAGTAATCTTACCACAAAGTTGAGGCTAGCAAACAGACTAAAAATGCTTTAGGTTCTCTATTTTTTTTCTTTTCTTTTTTGAGACAGTCTCACTCTGTTGCCCAGGCCAGAGTGCCATGGCATTAGCCTAGCTCACAGCAACCTCAAACTCCTGGGCTCAAGCAATCCTCCTGCCTCAGCCTCCCCAGTAGCTGGGACTACAGGCATGCACCACCATGCCCAGCTAATTTTTTCTGTATACATTAGTAGGCCAATTAATTTCTATTTATAGTAGAGACGGGGGTCTCGCTCTTGCTCAGACTGGTTTCGAACTCCTGACCTTGAGCAATCCGCCCGCCTCCGCCTCCCAGAGTACTAGGATTGCAGGCGTGAGCCACCGCGCCCGGCCTAGGTTCTATATTCTTAAAGGGAAAAAAGAATTTCACTTTCCTGACAGGATTTTACAGACTGAAGTAGGACTTTCCAGATAAAAATACAACTGGTTGATTTGTACTGGATACACAGTAATAAGGATAGCAGGCTCTATGCAAGCACTTTGTATATTAACTCAATCTTCACAAACCATAGAAGTGAGAGACTAAGAAATTTGTCCAAAACCACACAAATGTCAAACCTGCAGAATCATCAAAATCAGGCTGTCTAAGCCGGGTGTGGTGGCTCAAGCCTATAATCCTAGCACTCTGGGAGGCCAAGGCAGGCGGATCACTCCAGGTGGTCAAGAGTTCGAAACCAGTCTGAGCAAGATCGAGACCCCGTCTCTACCATAAATAGAAAGAAATTGGCCAACTAATATATACAGAAAAAACTAGCCAGGCATGGCTGCACATGCCTGTAGCCCCAGCTACTCGGGAGGCTGAGGCAGGAGGATTGCTTGAGCCCAGGAGTTTGAGGTTGCTGTGAGCTAGGCTGACACCACAGCACTCACTCTAGCCTGGGCAACAAAGTGAGACTCTGTCTCAAAAAAAACCAAAAAACAAAAAAAACACAAAAACCAGGCTGTCTGGCCCAAGAAACTAGACTATTGTTTTCAGGCTTGCAGTTTTCCAGTAAAGACCTATCTACCCTCTCTTCTGTTATCTGCTGCAACTCTTTTAGTTTCTATTCCTAGGTTTAGACTCTGTTCTCAGAATAGTCTTTACATACTTATTAAAATCTTGTAACTACAAAATCTCTTGAAAAGAAACTATCCAATGCACAGCTTACACAAAAGGTCATAATACTTAGCAAGCAGTTCCATAGGTATGACATTGTATTTGACAACACATTCTTATAGCCCTTATATCTTACTTAACGGTAATTTCTCCATATAAAGTGTTTATTAACCAACTAGTTTTCTGCGTGGCTGCTCACAAGGCTTGAAAATCTTGCTGCATGGACATTTCCTAAAATAGTTTTATAAGGTGATTAACATTTAAAATAGATAAAATAGGTTTATAAAGTTAAATCCAACATATAGCATCAGCATGTGGTAGCTTTCTCCTATCCACTTTTTTAACTACAAAATAAAGAGTTATCTCCTATGTCTTTCAGGGTGAGTTATGAGAGTTAAATGTTTGCCTCTAGACAAAATTTTAATTAGTCACACAAGTAGGAGAAAACCACTTTTAATTGAAAAATAAAGCAATACATTTCAAATAAGACTCTGTTTAACAACATAAACTGTAATTTGCTGAAACAGCTTTCATAAGTGGTATTGTGAAATTTAGGTATCAGAGTATCAAGAGTTTCCAACCTTTATCCTGACTTAGCTACAAGCAATATTAAAAATAAGAACTTTTTCCCATAAATTTAATTTCCATAAATTAAATCTCTATAGCCTATCCCTATCCCCAATGGACTGACAAAAGGAGAGATTTTAAACAATCATTTCTATAATGAGGAGTTCCCAGATAAAAGTAATTTTCCTTATAAAAAAGCTTATATGTGAGACACACAAAACTTAGTATTTAACTCAATTTCCACAAAACTTCAAAACACAATTTCATCAAGATGATCTTTACTACAATTTTCCTTTAAAGTTCTCAAATCCCAGAATGGTTTTAATTTGACATACTGGACATATTAAACTTTGAAAGAAATTACTAAAGTTATTGCTTTAAATTAGAAAAAACTATGGTCAAAAGTCTCTTTAAAAAGAGTTCATTATACAGATATTCTTACTCTTGTAACTGCAGAGAAAATGTTCAAGCACATAGTAAACATCACTCTTTTAAAATGACAGAACAAAAAGCATATGTTAAGATGTATGGCTTTTTTTGAGATTGTTACAACTATACATAAAGTCATTACTGTTTGATTGAAAAAGGCTTTTACAAAACTCCACTTCCAAAATTAATATTTTTATTAAATCAAGTTTAAAAAATGTCCACTGTAGAAAAGTCAACAAGGGTTTTAACAAAACCAAAATATACCTTTTTATACAATATATGTATATATTAGCAGCAAACTACTTCCAAGATTGTATGTTTAGTTATTTTAAAGAAAGCTTAAACAATGTATATTAGTAAAGAATGTCAGCTAATCCACTCTTCATCCTTAATTCTGTGATTTAGGCCTTATACAAAATACTTTATGATTCTTATTAATGAATACTAAGAACAAACCCAGGTTTGACTAAAAAGTAGCAAAACAGGGTAGCTGGTAGAATCTGTTTCACTACATCATAGTCATGCATTATCTTTGAGAATAACAAATGAGCACCATATAAATAGGTAATTGTGTGTCTGTGTAAACTCAATTTTTAAGGTGTAACAGCAGCCAACTAGATCAGTTAGCATGTGACTCTTACTTTAAACATTTTGATATATAAAATTTTAATCAAAACAGATGAAAACTTCAATCTCCTATTGCTTGTCCACTTTTAAAATCCTTAATAGAAATTCTGTATATAACCTGACAAACTGTATACATGTGTATACACACACAAAATGTATGTATATATACATATATATCTTTAGATTTGAATGAATTTCTAAACTAAGAAGAAGCTAAATTTCTCATTTAAATTTATCTGTAGAACATAGTATCACCAACTGAAGATTCCTAATACAAGTTTCATCTCAGCTAATCAGAAATACTGGCTACTGAAAATTCTGAGGTTAAGCTGTTATTCAGCTTACCATATTCCAAGTTTACAAATTAATAAAACAAGAGAGAAATCACCAATTGCCCATCAAAGAAATAAATTTTTTCTCTTGGTATTTCCTTCTACTAGCAGACCGAAAGTATCTTTACAATGAGCTTTAACTTTGTAGAGTTAAAATTATTACAGAAATCTCACTAGTCTTCAAAAATACTAAACGTTATATAAATACAATTTTCTTATAGTTGAATTCTTCAGCTAGAATCTGTATTTTAAAAATTTCCTTTGGATTGTTCCATTTAGTACTTCAAGTTTCTATTCTGTGACTCTGACAACTGGCTCAGATTTGTTAGGTTTATATCAATCACATCTTTCAGAATTTGCTACTGTGTGTTATCTGTGTACAATAAAGTAAATGAGAGGAAATGTACCAAATTTCAAAAGCAACATAATGAAAAATTCAAGAATATGTAATATAAAAAAAGAAAAAGTACAACAGGGTTTCCCTTTTCACCATTACATTAGTGAAATATAATCCATTTTTGCTTTTAAAGCTAACGTCATAACTTTCATTTTTAACTTATCAAGACGATGAAGTTTTTAGATGGCCTACCTTTATTTTTCAATCAAAAAACTAAAACAATAGACTGAATTACTTTTATTAATATACACATCAAGTTATTGAAACAGTGACTTCATGTAGTTTTCCCCTTAAAGATGGCACTTGCAGGTACAAAGATGTGGAGATGTATAACAGCCTTCAGATGTTTACTTGAAAAGATTCTTCAACAGCAGTTTGATACTGGGTTTCCTCATCTAGCTGAAGATTCTAAACACAATAACATTAACATGTCAACAGGAAAAATATAACTCAACTACTCAGTACTTTGCCTGATACATTACGCTTCTTGATACACATTATACACACTCAAAACAGTTTATGTAAAGCATATAGTATCCTTTAAAATACAAGATTTAGCCAGGGATGGTGGTATAAGCCTATAATCCCAGCTACTTGGAAGGCTGAGGCAGGATGACTTGAGCCCAGGAGCTCAAGACCAGCTTGGGCAACACAGCACGACCCCCATTTCAAAAAATAAAAGATTTAAATACCTGAACTTTAATAAAAAATTAAGTTCACTTATAATTATTTAGGAATAACTAATAGAAAAGATAAGCAGAGAATGAAATTTGAGTTATAGCTCCTAATGATAAGTGATTAATCAAAACTGCAGACAACTGTAAAGCTAGGCATGGTGCTGTGAGCCTGTGGTCCCAGCTATTCAGGAGGCTATGGAGGAAGGATCACTTGACCCTAGGAGTTCGAGGCTAGCCTGGGCACCATAACAAGACCTCATCTCTTTAAATTAAAAAAAAAAAAAAAGTGAACTTAATTGTAATGCACAATCATAAGTGATACATTTTCTGTCACCTCTAGAAAAAATGCCAAATGTCTGAAAGTAAACTAATTTTAAAGAAAGTAAGTCACGGCCGGGCGCGGTGGCTCACGCCTGTAATCCTAGCACTTTGGGAGGCCGAGGCGGGCGGATTGCTCAAGGTCAGGAGTTCGAAACCAGCCTGAGCGAGACCCTGTCTCTACCAAAAATAGAAATTAATTGACCAACTAAAAATATATATACAAAAAATTAGCCGGGCATGGTGGCGCATGCCTGTAGTCCCAGCTACTCGGGAGGCTGAGGCAGTAGGATCGCTGAGCCCCGGAGATTGAGGTTGCTGTGAGCCAGGCTGACGCCACGGCACTCACTCTAGCCTGGGCAACAAAGTGAGACTCTGTCTCAAAAAAAAAAAAAGAAAGTAAGTCAACCAATTTTGAGAACTTAAGACTTACATCAGCCTTGGAAAGGCTAAGTTAGATGGCAAATTTAATTCTCGTTTGGGCAAGGGTATTTGTTCCAGGTATTTTAATAAGTTAAACACCATTTATTCATTTATTTAACAAATATTTATTAAATCCTTGATAGCTGTGCTAGGTCAAAGGATTATAAAATCCATAAATCCCAATCCCTGACCTACAAGGTATTCATAATCCATTGTGTATAAGGTAAAAACAAGCAGTGATGGTCTTGAATGAATTTTAAATACTTTGTGCAGGGGCTGGGGCAAGAACCATGATCCAGAAGCCAAGCATTATAAATAGACTACAAATATACAAAATAAACACATATATGGATAAAAAGTATTTGAATATATAAGAAAAAAGAAAACAAGTATTTACTGAATTATGAGTTGAGAATAAATGGCTTCATAATCATAACATGAAGCTCAAAACTATAGCTCACTCAATCTTAGTTATAAAACTACTCCTTAACTTCAAAATTTCTATTTGCTATCAATTTTATGTCCTATGGGTTTGCTTTAAAACATATCAAGGCTTCTACTTGACAATCTCAAATAGTTAAAACTACATATTTTTCTATGGCAAGATAAAACAATCTGACAATTAGATCCAAAGTGGCCCACAAAATATATTTTTGTTTTTCCAAATACAGTTCTCCAGACATAGTAACCTTTCTTACAATGAGAATCTATAATTACTTCATAAAATAGAGTACACCTGAATTTTACATGCATTTGAATTGTTATCTCTTAAAATAGGAGACTAAAAAATGCAAATTTCACAAAAATAAAAAAATATTTATCAAAAATGATGTAAGCCAGGTGCAGTGGCTCATACCTGTAATCCTAGCACTCTGGAGGCCAAGGCAGGCAGATCGCTCAAGGCCAGGAGTTTGAAACCAGCCTGAGCAAGAGCGAGACCTCGTTTCTACTATAAATAGAAAGAAGTTAATTGGCCAACTAAAAAATATATAGGAAAAAAAAAAAAAACTTAGCCGGGCATGGTGGCGCATGCCTGTAGTCCCAGCTACTCAGGAGGCTGAGGCTGAAGGATTGCTTGAGCCCAAGAGTCTCAGGTTGCTGTGAGCTAGGCTGACACCATGGCCCTCTAGCCTGGGCAACAGAGTGAGCTCTCAAAAAAAAAAAAAAAAAAATGATGTAACTTCAACATTGGATAGCAGAGAAAAATTTCAACATTAGAGGGCAAGATTTTATTCATGCCATTGTGAGAATTTCACATATCTGTGCTTACCTAAATTGAAAAACAAGTGGCATTCTTTGTAGGATTAATCCTAAGGTGTTTTTTTTATTCTAAGGTTTTAATTACACTGAAGTTGAATAAGATGCAATTTCACAATCAATAAAACAGAAGTTATCACTAATTTTAGAACAAATTATCACAACCCATTTGGGAAGTAGAAATTAACACTACATTTTTCTTTGGGGATCCATTTTTACATTATATAACTCCCCTCACCTTGTTAAATAAACTCAGCCTGGCTTTGCTTGATAATCAAGTTCTCTCATTTTAAAAAATAATGTGTCTCACATGCTAGATGTGAGAAATTATACTGGGTTTAACAAGCAACTTATACTACATGAGAAATACACCCTCCTTCATGTGTTACACCAGTTTTACTTCTCATGTAGGTAGAATTTTCTCTTAAATCTAGACAGTTTTTGTATTAATCATCATTTTGTTAATCTGGGGGTTTGGTCTTCCTCTAGTAATTATTTCTCTAGTACAGGAGGTAGAAAGTAAATTCAATTTGTACCCACTTCTACAAACCAAAGGTAACCAGTATTATTATTAAAAACCAAAGACTTGCTTCATATCCATCCAGTATGATACAATTTGCCTCAAAACCCAAGTCTAGATTGAAAAGTTAACCTAACGTGAATATTTAAACAGTACTTTCTTAATCTTGAAAAATTCACTTACCACGAATTCTCCATAATCAAACCGATGTCTTTGATTTAGATGACTAACAAAATTTCTAGTAATCTGGCTAGGATCTCCCCAAGGAAGAGACACACAAATAGGACATGTCTATAAGAAATTGATTTAAATTAAAAAAAATGAAAACAATAGTATGTTATATAATTGAGTAATTAAATAACACAGGCTTATGTTATCAAAACATCTAAATGAAAAGCATTTCTAAAGGCCAAGTTCCATGACTAGATCATTTCCCAACTAAAGTACCTTAGCTAAATGACACTAATATAACACAATATAATAAAAGGTCTTAGACATTCTACTACTTAAATCTCCAATTACACAACTGTAACAGAAACACCATATCCAGCTTTTAATACCAGTTGTAATAATTATCACTGTCTACCACACACCCAGTATATAATCTCATTTGATCTACAAAATAACTATAATTATTAGCTTAATTTCATTTATAAGTAAAATGAAAATGAAATAAATTACAGAATGCACTTTAAGTCATATCCTTAAAGTTTTAATTAAAGTACATCTTAGGGCTGGGTGCCCTGGTTCACACCTGTAATTCCAGCACTCTGGGAGGCTGAGGTGAGAGGATTGCTTGAGCTCAGGAGTTTGAGACCAGCCTGAGCAAGAGTGAGACCTCATCTCTAACAAAAAAAAAAAAAAAATAGAAAAATGAGGCGGGCCTATGGACGCATGCCTATAGTCCCAGCTACTTGGCAGGATGAGGCAGGATGATCGCTTGAGCCCAGGAGTTTGAGGTTGCTGTGAGCTAGGCTGATGCCACGGCACTCTAGCCCAGGGAACATAGTAAGACTGTCTCAAAAAAAAAAAAAAAAGTACATCTTAAAAAGTGAATGATTCTAGCCCAGGCAACAGAGTGAGACTCTGTCTCAAAAAAAAAAAAAAAAAAAAGTGAATGGATGACATATTGAAATAATATAAAAGAAACTTTAATAATTGAACTCTAGCCAGTGTTTATGATATATTGAATATTATACAGAAATGAAAAAAACATGGTAATCCAATATAAAACTACGTAAAATCTGTTAAATATGAGAGATTTCCTTGAGACTTCTTTTGTACTCTGTTTATTTAGCTATAACCAACCCCCTCTAATAAGCAAAGTAGGTGGGGTATGTCTTCTTAGGTGGTATGAGAGAGTTTAAGGTTATCCTCAATAGCTATTGGGGAATATTCTTTCACAATTTTTTCTAGTACATTCATTAAAACAGCTTAGAAATTCTACAATTCTTATTGGTAACATTTCCTTCTATTCTTATTTCTGAAGACAAAATATATCAAAATGTTTGGTTGAAAGGGAAGTTCTCTCTCCCAGGTCAGTTTCTTCTGTTCCATCCACAGTTGAAACCACTTATCTGTGAAACTCATATTCGAAATGAGTTCTAGCACCATCATCACAATGTTGGAACCCTGCACTCAGCTGTATCTCCCTCATTCATCAAAAAGATCTCACCACTTTCTTAGACACCCTCAAAAAATGTAATTAAAAAAATGTATACATCAAAAAGAAAAGTGTGATTATTTTCCTTTCTTGCTTTATGCATTCATATGCTAGATTCTCCAAGGTACAATAAAAAATAACTACTGACTTTATTCTTACTTATAGGTATTATCACTTGTAGCAGATCCACCTGACTGGATCCATTTGTCTGCATACCCAATACAATTAGATTCTGCAATTGTTAAGGAATGAGTCCCCTGGTTCACTCATTACTTCACTCTTCTCCTACATTACCTCAAAATAAGTATTTCTCTTTTTATAATGAGTTGCTGGAATTTTAAATATCTCAATTTGCTTCATAGTCATCAATCATTTGTTAACAAAAATCTACTTGATTAATAATGCCCCATCCAAATTTAAATCAACTACCTTTCCTCGTATACACGAGGTAAAATAAGTGTTATAGCAGGCTTTAATCTAAGCAGAAGACTGTTTAAAAACATGTACTTACCACAGGAACTATCTGAAATAGGTGATTACTGTTACAGTGATCCAGTAAACGCTGTCTGGTAAAATTTGATTCTTGACACAGGGGACACTTAAAGGTGGGATGCCCAGAACTATAAAACAATTTTAAATGAGGCATATTTAATTCAAAATAATAGTGACCAATCACCACTATAAGTTTTTTTAAAAGTTATAATTATCAAACTGTTCAAAGGTTCTCTCATTTTGAAAACATTTTCAACAAATGATCTAGAACAAAGGTTCCCAAACCAATCTCAGTTTACAGTACTCTTAGTGTTCCCAGTTAATTTTTTCATGGTGTCTCTAAGGCCAAAACAAAAACAAAAACCTAGCCAGTTGCATTTATTAAGCAGTTAGGTCAAAACTATAGTCATTTGTATGATGCCAATAGCTATCATGTGTGTCCTTTGAATTTTTAAATATCCTGTAGTGTCCCACAATTTGGAAATCCCTTATCTAGGAACTTAAAACTTTTAACAGTTTTATCAATATTGTATTTTTAAACTATCCCAGGCACTAGGAATCTAATATGCCCAAAATTCGCAAGGAAAAAAAAAAGAAAGAAAAAAAAAAACAATGATTACCGGAATGAAACACTTCAAAACATTTTGAGGATCACGAATCACTGGGTTTTAATACTTCTGAATGTCAGCAAGGGACATTTCAGCATTGACAACTCTACCAGAATTACACACAGCAGAAACCTGACCACCAGTAAACCTTTCTAATCCGATTCACAAAAACAGCAACTGCATTGCCATTTCGAAACTGCTAACTTCTAGCACTATGCCCGGTGATTTAACAGAATTTTGAAAAGTTTAATTTCAAAATATTTGATAAAGTGATGATATTTACTAATGTAGCAGAATTATTCAAAAGCTTACCTTGTATTCTCTTGGTAACTTTCTGTGTTATCAGATGTGGATGTTTCACTTCTATTACTTGAGAAGCACAGAGGGGGGGGAAAGTTAATACCCCAAAGTAATAAAGCACATTAACTTGAACCATTAATGAAGATTAGTCTAAATTTGTTTTAAAAGTCTGAATTTCAAATAATTCTAAACCATAAAATATTTAATTACTTTCCAAACAAATTAAGTCTGTTTATTAAATTCTCATTCATGTCCTTTAAAATGTATGTGCAATTACAAAAGCATAGAGAATTTTAAAGAATTATGTTAAATCCTATTCCTCCACCTCTACCCCAGACTAGTAATTTTAAATGCTGGAGTAGACTCAATTCTGTAAACTTCTGTTTGTTTCAGACATAGTCTTACTCTCTTGCCCAAGCTACAGTGCAGTGGCAACATCATAGCTCTCGTCATTCTCCTGCCTCAGCCTCCCAGAATGCTAGGATTATAGGTGTGTGAGCCACTGGGCCTGGCTTCTGTGAAATTTTTGACTAGTAACTAGAATATGGTTTAAGGTTATGGCCTCCAAAGGAGAGTAGGTTCCATAGAATATTTGGATTTTTTTTTTCATTTGTTTTTTTGACATGGGGTCTCATTCTGTTGCCTTGGCTAGAGTGCAAGGGTGTCATCATAGCTGACAGCAAGCTCAAGTGATCCTCCCACCTCAAACTTACAAACAAGAAGGACTAATCTGCTACTACACCTGGCTAATTTTTGTATTTTTTGTAGAGACAGGGTCTTGCTATATTGCTCAGGCTGCCCTCAAACTCCTGGCCTCAAATAATCCTCCCACCTCAGCCTCCCAAGTATTAGGATTATAGGAGTGAACCACCGATTGAGCCCAGGGAGTTAAGAAAATATTTGAACATTATGTTTATATCCTACCCCCCCCAAAAGGAAATAAACTAGGTTTCACTAACATTTACTTATAGAAGTTGATATCTTCACTTGTACCCTATGCCAGAATCATGTGTCAAAGGAATATTAGAAGAATCCTGTGGAAAGAGTAGACACACTCCACATATGATCAACACTTGTGTGCTGAAGAATTTTATCAATCTGGCCAATTTTATAAAAAGCAAGATCCTTTAATAGTAGAAATATTTGTTTATTTATTTATTTATTTATTTTTTTTGAGGCAGAGTCTCACTCTGCTGCCCCGGCTAGAGTGCCCTGGCATCAGCCTAACTCACAGCAACCTCAAACTCCTGGACTCAAGCGATACTTCTGCCTCAGCCTCCTTAGTAGCTGGGACTATAGGCATGTGCTACCATGCCCAGCGAATTTTTTCTATATTAGCTGAAGGCGGTGGACTGCTCGAGGTCAGGAGTTCGAAAACCAGCCTGAGCAAGAGCAAGACCCCGACTCTACTATAAATAGAAAGAAATTAATTGGCCAACTAATATATATAGAAAAAAATCAGCCGGGCATGGTGGCACATGCCTGTAGTCCAAGCTTCTCAGGAGGCTGAGGCAGTAGGATTGCTTGAGCCCAGGAGTTTGAGGTTGCTGTGAGCTAGGCTGACTCCACGGCACTCACTCTAGCCTGGGCAACAGAGTGAGATTCTGTCTCAAAAAAAAAAAGACTATTAAACCACTATTTATAGCAGATATTAATCTGTTCAGGTAAAGGTGGCATTTTCACACCATGAAGACTAAAACCTTGTGTTTTAAAACAAACTCAAACATTGTAGAGCAAATTTATTAAGGGATGTTATATGAATTTGTTATGCAAAATAGCATGTGTCACCTATTTTTTTAAATCTTATTATCTAGACATTAAACTTGATAGCAGATTTTTCTAAACAGTTTAAAAAATCTTCCAAATAATACAATCACTGGGTTTTGAATGCATCCTTTAATAACACTGTCAACTTTTGATTGGCTTGTAAGAACTATAACATCATCAGGGATGTTGAAAATTTCAACAAAAGCCTTTTTGATATTAGTGAATGGGACTAAAAAATTTAGTAATTTCAATCTATGGCATACTTCTTCCATTTGGATCTACATTTTTTTGTGTAGTAATTATCTTTTCCAGCCATGATAGTCATCAAAACCAAGCATCAAAATAAAGTGAACTTAGATCCAAATCTCCGAGTTACTATGTCAAGTGTTAAACCAATATATATATATATATATGTATGTATGTGTATATACACATATATAGTGTATAATCAAGTGTTAAACCAATATATATATATATATATATATATATATTTTTTTTTCCCCCCTATGGGAAGCTGAGGTGGGAGGATCACTGAAGGTCAGGAATTCGAAACCAACCTGAGCAAGTGCAAGACCTCGTGTCTCTACTAAAAATAGAAACAAATTAATTGGCCAACTAAAAATATATAGAAAAATTAGCCTGGCATGGTGGTACATGCCTATAGTCCCAGCTACTCAGGAGGCTGAGACAGGAGGATTGCTTGAGCCCAGGAGTTTCAGGTTGCTGTGAGCTAGGCTGACGCAATGTTTTTGAAAAATACAAATGCCTAAAGACTCTAAACATCAGAATATCTGGGAATCAAGCCAGATATGTATATATATTTAAAAGTCCATAAATGATTCTGACTTGAATATAACTACTTAATGAGGAAATCTTAAATCCAGGGTAATATCATCATGGAACAGATGTCTCTCTATATATATCTGTATATGTAAACTGTGAAACTCTAAGAATATCTATGCTTTCCTTCGGAGGGAAAAAAATAAATACAAATTTAAAAATTAAAAAATGTTTTAAAAGAGTATCTATGCTAAAAAAAAAACTACAGGAAACATCATACTTAATAGTAAAATTTTAGCTGTATTCCCACTAAAATGAGGAAGAAGAAAAAAATGTCTGCTATTTAATATTGGATAGAGACCCTACTGTATGCAAAAATAAAATTTTCTATATAATAAATCTAAAAGAACCCACAAGTAGATTCTGAACTATTAGATTAGAATTACTACAACACCAAAGTTGCTGAAAACAAGATTAACATAAAAATCTTTTTTCTTTTTTTTTCTATTTTTTTTCAATCCCTTGGATCAATCTGCATAACATAAAAACCAATCCATAGGCCAGGAGGGGTGACTCACGCCTGTAATCCTAGCATTCTGGGAGGCTAAGGTGGATGGATTGCTCGAGGTCAGGAGTTCGAAACCAGCCTGAGCACGAGCGAGACCCTGTCTCTACTATAAATAGAAAGAAATTAATTGGCCAACTTACATATATAGAAAAAATTAGCTGGGCATGGTGGCTCATGCCTGTAGTCCCAGCTACTTGGGAGGCTGAGGCAGTAGCATCGCTTGAGCCCAGGAGTTTGAGGTTGCTGTGAGCTAGGCTGATGCCAAGGCACTCACTCTAGCCTGGGCAACAAAGCAAGACTCTGTCTCAAAAAAAAAAAAAAAAACCAATCCATAATATTTCTACTTACTAGTGATAACCAATTAAAGTTATAAAACAGGAAAAAATCCTCATTTTTATAGCAACATAAACTATAAGGTTTTATTAAGAAAAGATATAATAAAATATTTACACATGCTCTAAATGAACTTTTAATATACTTTTTTAAAATGGGAAAGGTAGACAATAGTTCTAAAGGATAAACAATGGACCAAGGAACAGAATGCAGAGATACACAAGACAGAAGGAGCATGATAAATCACTGGGGAAAGAATGGACCCCTCAGTGGGTAGATCCAGGACAAATGGTTAATCATAAAGTTTTCCTACCTCACATTATACATCCCAAATAAATGTGGAAAACACAGGTTTTAAATGTTTAATAGGAAAATACCTTTTATAATCCTGATAAAGAAAAAGATTTCTCAAAGATAACACAAAAAGAACCATAAATAAAATATTTATATACATACGTGTAAATATAATATATAATACTTTTATATGTCAAAAGACACCACATGAGCCAAAGACTGAGCAAAGATATTTGCAATGCAGGTAACAAAGTTATTATACAGAATATATAAAAAATGCCTATAAACTAAAAAAAAAGAACATTTTACTTTATACTTGTACCAGATTCCTTAACAGTTATTTAGCCACTTAAAATGTTTAACAACTTGGAGAGGAATCTATTAGGAACAACAAAAGAATGCTTGCAACTTTCATTTTTTTGTCTTTGTGAAGAGCTGTTTTTGAACTAAGCTGTATGAGCCTACCTATATCCTGTTATTGTTTACAAAGAGTCAAGCTTAGTAGGAACAACCTGTAAACAGACCAAATAATTCCCAAGGAAGATAAAATAGAAATGTGTTCTGGTATTTTAAGGATTACATGCATCCTCCCTCCCCTCCACTAGTAGATAAAGGAAACAAAAAGATACAATTTTATGTCAGAAGCAGAATTTTATTATTATGAAATAGAAATAGCCTTAGTAAAACAACTAGCACTGCTCTAATTATTATCAGAAACTACTTCATACCAGTGCAATAATTTTGCTAAATACCCTCCAACATTTATACTCCTACCCCGAATTATCTGAATGAAAATAGTGCTACCAGTTTGTATTTGATGACTCAACTGAAAATCATACTGCTAATGGTTGGATATATAGAAAACGACATTATGTCTGTTTTATCTATCCCTGTATATTCAATAACAGGTAGAGTGTGCCCAACACTACAGAAGGTACAATTAATGTATATAGAATGAATGAAATGATCTATAGATTATTTTACTCTTTATTTATTTATTTAATTTGAGACAGGGTCTCACTCTGTTAGAGTGGAGTGGTGTCACCATAGATCACTACAACCTTAAACTCCTGGGCTTAAACCTTCTGAATAGCTGGGATTACAGGTATACACCACCACTCCTGGCTAATTATTAAAAGCTTTTTGGTAGGGATGAGATCTCTCACTATGTTGCTCAGGCTGGACTCCAACTCCTGGCCTCAAGCCATCCTCCCCTGCATGAGTCACCAAGCCTGGCCTATTTTGTAAATTTTTTTAACTACTCATATAAGGAGCATGCAAATACTGTTTTAAGAATTTCCACAGCCATGCTCTATTCAAGCCATAG